AGATGTGTATAAGAGACAGAGCCATAACCGAGGAGAGGAAGAGAGAAAAAAAAAAACAAAAAAAAAAAAGAGAAAGAAGACAGTTAGGGTGAAGAAGGAAGAGGCGAGGTGAAGAGAAGGAAGGTGAAGGGTGGCGACGAAGGTGAAGCCGTCCGCCATAGCCGGGAAGTTGACCGGAGGCGTTGACCAGGGTTGACCGACGTTGACCAGTAGTTGACCGGAGTTGACCGGGGGTCGAGTGCAGCGTTGACCGAGCATTGACCGAGGCGTTGACCAAGACCGTTGACCACAATTTTGACCAAGCTGGAGCCGATATATTCTCGCCAAGCCTTCAGCCTATCCCCTCGCCCTATGGATGTGCACACACCCTGTGGGACTTGATGAGTCAAGTCTGTCCGTCTCTTCTTTCTGCATCAAGTCTCCTCTGTCCAGGTGTAGGAACTCTGTGGATGAAGGATAGGGCCTCGTTGACCAAACCCCTGCCAGACTAAGTAGGGCTAAAGACTGTGTCTGACGACTCAACTGTCCCGGAGGCCTAACCCTCCTAAGGACCGGTACAGACCGGCGGGCTGCTCGGTGTGGCACGGTAGGCCCGAAAGGCTGAGTTGTGGGCTGCGCAAAACAGACAGTCTAAGTGTTGAGAGACCTGCTGATCGCGTTATCTTGTTTGCGACGTTAAATAATTCCTGAGGAGTTACGGGGAATCTCCTTAAATGCCTCCTGATCAGCAACAAGTCTAGTAGTGACAGCCTTAGAGTAGGTCTAGGCTAGAGACCCTAGTTGATAGGATCCCTGTCTGGATTCTGTGAGTCTTAAGATCGAGACAGTAAGTTTTCCAGTCAGGGGTTAGAGTCTAAGTGGTGAGGTTTGGAACCGTTAACCCGGTTGTGCACTAATCACCATGGTTGACACCCTTAGTGGGAAGAGCACTAGCCCCCATACCCAGGCTCAACAAGAGCAGATGGCCGCCTTAGTGAAAGAGAATAGGGAGAGGAAAGAGTTCCTGAAGCAAGCGAAATTGAAGGCAATCGCCGAGGAACAGGCGGCGAAAATGAAGAAACTAGAGGAGGAGATGGAGGAGAAGAAAAAAATTGTTGAGGAAGAAGCAGCAGCAGAGGATGCAGAAGAGAGAAAACGCAGGGAAGAGAAAGGGGAGAGTAGTGGCACGACGAATGTGGATGAAGAGATGGAGAAGAAGATCAGTGAGTGGATCGCTAATTTATCGTTGGGGGAAGACGAGGAGGCACAGTTGTATGTGCCACAGGAGGAGAAGGAAGTGTTTGCCAGGGCGCTAGCGACAATTGAGTACCCCCTGGAACGACAAGAGGCAGAGGAGGGAAAGAAGTTGGAGTGGAAGCTGAGGATGAAAAGGGAAAAGAAGAGAAGGAGGGAGGAAGTAAACCGCTTGTCCACAGAGGTGAAAAAGGTAAGAGCCTGTAGACAAAAGGTGCAAGCACAGACAGACGTTTCTGCCAAAATGGATAAGATGTTGGGGTACTTGGAGGTGTTGAGTGAGGCCTGGCTGGAGGAGCGCCAAACCATCCGGGGTCAAGATGTGGCCCTGAGTGCCATGCGGTCAGGATTTCGAGAGTTTGCGCACGACACGGTTACCAACGTTGGGGCCGTAGTCAGGCGGTTGAGAGATAACGTGGGGAAGTTATGTGAATGCGCCATTGAGGGAGCCAAAGTCGTAGCTACCGTCGAGAGCAAGGCCAGACCTAGCAAGGAACCAGTTTAGCTTAAGTTCCCAGACGCGTACGGTGGGAAGCCTGATTTTGATAACTGGGAGGCTAGTGTAAACAAATATGTTTACTTACAGCACATTGTACAGGACGACCGGGTCCTAGTAGCCTTCCAAGCCCTTAAGGACGAAGCAATTAGTTTCGCTAGGTCCCTCGCGCGCGCGGCTAGTTGTGAAAACAACATGGTTGCTTACTCCAAAATCACCTCCCTTCCTCAATTCTTCAAGCTCCTCAGGGAGCAATTCGCTGATCTTCGCAGGGCCGTCAGAGCCTCTGACAAACTCCAAACCAGTGTCGTACCACCGGTCATCGTTCACGGGGTCTATGGACGGAGACCGGTCATGGAGTTCACCCCGTTCACGACACGGGAGTTCATGGAGTTCACGTAGAGCAATTTTTTTATTATTATTTTTTTTTTGGCTGGGGGGGTATGTTTTTTTTTTTTAGAAGGGTGGGGGACATCGAAGGGTAACTCCCTATAATTTTTTCACAAAATTGTTTTCACGAATATTTTTTTTTTCATTAAAAATGAAAAACCAAAAAAATCAACCAGCCAAAATAAGCATTTTCGTTTGCTATTTTGTAGGTCATTTCGATTTTTTTTTATTTTTTCAATGTCATCACGCTGTGG